AACATACTTTTATGTCTTTCCATTCAAAGCTTGTGCATTGTAAGCTATTCAAGTCTTGGTTCAGACATTAAAGAGAATAAAAAAGTATGCTCACTTTTTTATACAAAATGTGAAGCTCTACATCCCCTCAACACATGTTTAGGGGCCATTACCACATTTTTACTGATCAGAGATATCTGACAAGATAGCAGATCTGCTTGCTTTCCTTCAGGATTCCTTGATAATCTCTAGTGTTTAGGTCTCCTAGCTGAAGTCATTTAATGGCAGTAGTACTCCATGCACATACAGTAGTTTGCTTTCTTCTCTATGTATGGTGCTTCATACACATTTTGAGTGTGAACAAGAGTTCAATGGCACAGAATATATTTTGTTAGCCTGTAATCGCTGCTACTATGGCATTATATTAAAACATTATTTGTTGACAATGTGGCTGTTTTTCCTTGGTATTCTTGGATAAGTTTGTGGACTTCCAGATTATTGCAGAGTACTGAATTGTATCTGTTTGGTGAGAGAGTGGTGCATAGGATAACACTGTTAAAAATACTTCTGTGTTTAATTCCAATGCTAATTATTTCAAAGCAACCATAGAACTCTAATAAACATAACCACTAAGGGCATCATCTGAATTAATTTGAATTTTTTTAACCATGAATAAAAAAATAGATCATCAGCATTGTTTAGGTAGATAGAAGAACATTAGTGGTGTTTATTCTCATTTGCTGTAAAGATCAGTTTTGATTAGGCTCTTTCAACAGGAATTTACAGATTTTGATTGTGACATTCAGGAGCTTCAAAAAACAATAGATAATCACATAAGATGTCAGTGGTGAGGTGTCGAAGCTCTTGGAAATTAGAAGCTTAATTCAAGAATAAAGAAAAAATAATAAAAGGTTTATGATTAGCAGTCTATATTTGCCTGTGAATGAGATTTATTAATTAATAAAATCAGTAATTCCATACTGAAATGGCAACTGAGACATTATTTCCATGCACATTTATATGCTTGAGGACTATAAACGTGTTGAGGAGTTTGGTCATGATTCTAAAATGAAATTAGATATATCGCAGATCCAATAGTTGCAAAATTCAAAGTGGGATGTTTTTACTGCTTACTGACGTTTAAAGCACATGTACATGAGACATGTACATTGTTAAACCATATTAATTATACTTGGAGTACATCTGCTATATTAGCTTTGCCAAGCAGCAGAAATTCTTAAAGGATGAAATGCAGGGATTTGTTGTGTTTAGCAAGAACCTTTAGGGGTTGTTTTTTTTTT